AATACCAATAAAAGCCTAGATTTTCAGTAAATGTTGAGATAGGATATTTTTGTTGTTGTTACAGCAAAGAACAGTAACTATGCAGTACACTTCTGTTGCTTTACTGAGAGGTGCTGCCCCTGGTCCTGTCTTCTATCCCATAGCCTCTGCACAGGCTGTACAGCTCTTTGTGAATTTACTAAATTCCTTTTGGCTTTAATAAGCCATGTGTTCCTTTAATCTATAAGAAGTTGGTACTACATGATTCATTCATAAGGATGGATGACTAGTAGTACCTTCTGTCATCTTTCTACTCTTATTAAATAATATTAGGTCTGTAATGTTAGGCCAAAACCTAATGAATAAAAATTGCATTAGGAAGGATGCAATTGAAGGTGCACATGGATAGTCCCTGGTGGTCTCAGAATTCAATCACTAGTTCTTGATGTGACAGTTTGGGGTTCTTTGGTGGGAAGATGAGCATAGTTGTGTTTGTTTTAACCATTTCAGTTCAGACTTGCTCATAACTTGAGCTTGGTTTTTCTCATTGTGGTAGCTCATGGCAAGCTATTTTATTTGGTGAAAGAATGTATGTTCCCAGTGTATATACCCATGATGTCACTTCCAGGTTCAATTGGCAGGTTTTTGTTCTAGAAAGCCAGTTGAATTACAGTAAATTGTTTCTAACTTTTTAGGATGGCTACTACAGCTGTAAGATGTAGTCTTTTCTGTTTAGGGCTCACTGGATGTGGTCACAGCATGGTAGGTAGATGTATAATCAGAGTTCAGTTTTAACCTGTGCCTGGACAATCAGACTACAAGAAAAATAAGCTGGTAGCTCTTCTGGGCAGAGAACTGTATTTTCACCACATTTACAGAACCAAAGCAATTAATGACTTTATTTTTTTTTTCCCTCTTGCTGAGCTTTCCTTTCTTCAAAGAAAGGAATAGTGTTCTGGGAGCACACGGACTTTCAACCTACACAGTAGCCCTTCGGGATGCGTTTTCATGTTGCAGTGTCAAAAGCTTTGCAAATCGGTAGTTCAGGAGTGGCAAATCCTTCAAATGCATGAGTAACAGATACTTGTTTTTAAGAGTCCTTAAACATGAGCAAGTAATTAAGTACTTTATTTCTTTCCATGAATCAGTTCTATTTAAATACTATATTCATGTTATATTTAATATTTTTAAAAGTAAAAAAAGTTTTTACTTTTAAACTCCCTTTTTCAGAGTCACTTCTTGTACATCTATGAATTTGTATTAAAAACATAAGTATATCTGGAAAGGAAGGCACATTCCCTGTACTGCTTCATTCCCATTGTCGGTCTCCTTTAAGAGTGAATATAGTCTGTCTACAGCATTTCTTCACCCAAGGAGACAATTTTGAAATGAGGAAGTTATTAGACTGTGAAAACAGAATGCATCCTTCTTTATCACCTGGTCAGCGTTTAGGTAACGCCGCTTTAAAATGCCATCACCCGCACAGCCTGTCTGTACAGTAATAAATCACACCAATATCCCCTCACACTTCAGGGGGAGCTCTGGAAATTCTGGTCTTCAGATTGGTATTTTCTGTGCCAGGTGACTCGCAGCCTCTTTGGCAAAGCTGTCACGCATCCATTGTGTGCGGGAAGCCTGTGAAATTTCATTGAAGGGAATCCCACAGTTTATTGAAATGCTTTGGTGGTTCATGTTGACCCTGTGATGTTGTGTTGTGTTTTGCTGGTACAGTCAATTTGGAAATAATCTATTCCCCTCTCTTTACTGAATGATGCAAAAAGGATAACCTAACATGCATATTCATAATTATGTATTTTTACAGGTTTTTGAGTCCCAAGATACCAACATGCTGATACATTAAACAGCATAAATCCTGCCAGAATCCTACTAGCTTGGCAAATCTGATAGCCAGCTGAAAGCGAGGAGTGCTTCTTATGATAAAAATTGGGCAATGTAGAGAATGCTGAAGTGTCGCTATTCATTCACAGCCCATGAAGAGTTCACTTGCCGTCAACATTAACAGGAAAAAAATTCCCAAATCGTGCCTTTGCTTCCTTGGGGATTTTCTTCAGTTTTTGCCTCCTTACATAGTCAGCAATCATAACTTGTATGGTGGTTTTTGAAATGTAGACTTCCTGTTACTAATCTTGTAATTAGGTGCCCTTTTATTCATGGGCTGTCACTCAGATTGACAGGACAGATAGCTCCCAGCCTTGGCAGTTGCTAGAAACTAGGGGATGTTTTGCAGAAATGGCTTGTGATTCATTTGTTTAGCATTCCTCGCTCTTTGTTTGGTGAGGACAGCTTGTATGGGACTGAGTCACATGGCAGCTCTTTTCATACTGAGTTTCTGCTGCCTGCAGCCTCTGTGGAAAGCCAAGGGAAAAAAAGGAGAGGGGGGGATTTGTCTACATCTTCACTTACTCCCTCCGTGTCAATTGTCTAATAAGAGCAGCAGCTAAAAGGAAGGGTTTCATGTCATCGTTATCAATTAGCTCATAATGTAAATTAATCTATACTACTAAGCACTGAAACATAAGTAAATAGAGAGTGGTCAGGGTTTGTGCCAGGATTTGATTCTTTGTGAGTGGTAAATTGCATTTTTTAAGTCAGTGTGCTGTTTGGGAGTACAATAACAACTTTATGTACAATCTTCATACCATTTGTTGACTTAGCTATCTTTTAATATGTAATATGCTTATGTTGGAGATGAAATGTTTTCTGTGGCACCTATAAAATATAATAAAATGGCAGCTTTAAAAAAACACCTAAATGTTCCTCATGAGCCACAGGAACACCTGATTTATATAAAGCTGTGGTAGTGAATCTGTGCCATCTCCAGCTGTGCCAGAGCTGTTGGAGGGTGATTCTGCAAGGAAAGGCAAATGGCAAGCAAAGCCCTTTGCTACTGCTGTGCAAAGTCTGCAGAATTTTAGGACATAAGTAAAAATGTCTGTATGCAACTGAAATTAGAAAATGAATATACATGTTGGTGTTTAGTATTCCACCTCACCTATATTTAAACTAGCAGCACAGGTAAAAATGTAACTGCATTTGGTTTTGTGAATATTTTGGTAGCTTTGTTTTTAGTTTAGGTAAGTTCCTGGGATAAGTCCTGGGAATCGCGAGGATGTTACGTACATTATTTGCCTTTGGTGAATTTTAGTATTGCCAAACATTAAGTACTATTTCTACCATTATCCTACCTATTTTAAGTTAGTGTTTCCTATAGAGATGTACCCACAGGTACCTACAACTTGAGAACCTGTGCTGCGGGCTGGTGGAGCTGTGGCCACCTCAAGCACTAAAGGAGGAGAAATCCAGGCTCCTCCTCTAGCCAGCTTCTTTAATTGAGCCTGCTGCCTTAATCCATGTAGTTCCTGGTCCTTGCTCTTTTAGCCAGAAAAAAAAATTACTCTGGAAGGGGTTAAAATTTTACACAAACACTTTGCTTTACTAAGAAACTTTAAATATGTGTAGCTGTTCCATGCCATAAAGCATTTGCCTCTTCAGGGCTGTTTTTTTCCTTAATTCAAAGAACTCTGTAATATGCAAAAAGCTTTGTTGCTGAGTAAGGTTTTCAAACAACTAAGGACTGTGGTATTCTCTCACTGCTCTTTCTGGAGGCTTTGCAGGGCTCTGTTCTCCTACATGGTATTTCTGGCTAATCCCATCTGCAAAAGTGAATTGTTTGGTAAATCTCAGACAGGTTGGGAAGAGAACATTAAATTTTCTCCACCTGCAGTAAACTCTCAACTTCTCTCTAATATCTCCATTTAGAAGATGAGCCAGAAGTTGAAGTTTAAGACTAGTGGCTATTCCTTTATCTGTCTTCAGTAGGAGGTTATTCATCCCTCTCATTAGTTACATTTTTAGGCATATAATGTGTGGTTTTGGTTATGATGGCTCTTGCTCATCTCACCTGTTGCTGCTCATCTGCAAAGCTATTTCAGTATCTTCCTTTCAAATGTTCTAAAAAACTGGTTTTGTTGTGATAACTGTTGTCAAGGCATTTTGCTTCTGCTGCTCAGCAGCTGATGGTTTTGCTTGTCATGCTTATCGGTGCTGTCTTGCTATTGTACAGTGTGTGTATGTTCACCAGACTGTAATTTCTTTTTACTGAAGCCATAAAGCACTTTGTTCCATGCTATCTGTGGCTTTCATAATACAAATAATCTCTTTGGGCATTTGAGTTTACTTCCTTTCCACCAACTTTGCCATACACAAATGTGTTCATACTTGAAGTCACCATAGCAGAATATGGGGAGGGGGCCAGCAGGGGGAAGGAGGAAAATACCACCCAGAAACAAAACCCCAAAAGAACCAACCAGTACTGTCTCCTTGAGTAACTTGAAAGACCTCTGGGAGTGTCAGAGGCACCACCTGAACACTGTCAGAAAACCAACAAATAACTTCTGGGCTGCTCTATTAGGGGATGAGCATGTCTGTAAATGTGTCTGAATGTTCAGCTCTGCTGGATTAAGGTGAGGGTTATTTAACTTACTCAAGTGAAGGTGTAACCATCATGAACCGCTTACATGCAAACATAAGTGCTGTTAAACCTGTGTGCTTTCATTCTGTTCAAAGACACAATATATGTAGCTAATTTTTGTCATGTTTCCTAGTTTGTTCTTCATATTTTGTTTGGAAATTGGAATTAAAAATAAGGAAACTTCTAAGATTGCCTTTTCCTTTTACTTTGAAAAGCCCTCAGTTATACCAGCTACCTTCTACAGTGTGTGTGCTCCAACCTGTGCTTTTATTGCAAAGCTAGTAGTGTGACTATACAGCAGATAAAATTAAAAGGAGACTGCAGTATGCTCCTGGGGTTTAGAAAAGAAGTTTGAATGCTAAGGAGGAGGAAAAGTTTGGTGTGCAGCTATGCAGCCAGAATTCTGAAAATAATTCAGGTGTCTTTTTATGTCGTTCTTGTAGCCTTTAAGTGATCAGGAGATCACTGAAGAACGAAATTACATTTGAAATCTGTTTGAAACAACATCATTGTCTCTCTTTTTCAGAAAATGTTGCTGTCCTGACCCCAGTAATCATGAAGAGAAGGGGATGAAGCGAATTTGTCTGGAGAAGTAGGAAATTTTAAAATTTCCAGCAGGATTTATTGCCAGTGGCTGCAGAAGGTTTTGCAAAGCCAACTGTTGGTGTTAGAATGGATGAAATTCCTCAAACTTAAGCGGTAACTAATTTTTCTGTCATATTCTTATTTCCCTAATAAAGTATCATAAAATAATTTGTGTGGATTATAGAGGATATTGTTTTAATACTACCAGAGTTTAAATAGAGTAATCTTATAAAAGCCAAACATTGGATGAATCTGTAATTTTGTGAGTTTCATTTACTAACAAGAAATTGGAGTTTTAGTTTCTGATGGTTTACTTGATAGTTGAATTTTTTTCCTGAGGGTTCATCCCATCTCTTCATCTTTGAAAAAATAAATCAGATTTGGCTATTACTCTATTAGTGACTGTCTTCCTAGCAAAACTGCAATTTGAAACAAGCTGTAGAAGCATCTCTGCACCTGGTTTTAGCTATATATGGTAAGTAATTTGTGTGACTTCTGAAACTTAGGAAAAGACATTTACGTAGTGCACTATGAAGGTTACTCATTTCTGCTAACGATCAACATTTTCTCACATCTCTTTTTTTCCATTTTCTCTTCTTGCTTTTCCTGTTCTCTGCACTTCATCCATTTGTCATCAGGTATGAAACATCTAAAATACTTCTATAACTGAAACATGTACTATGTCTTGACCAGGACCTGAAACCGGTACTATGTCTTGACCAGGTCAGTGTACTAGTAAGGAATATGAAACTGCTACTTCTAAAGTGGGAGCAGAAGGACCCTAGCTTCTCCTACTTATCCATTTGTAGGCTTTGTCCCTTTGTTAAAGTGGGTGAAGTGTAGCCAATCAGTAAAAACAGAAGGGGAGGAGGAATTACCATACCTTTAGTAGACCAGGATGATGGTTCAATGTCTCTTGAGAGAAGAGAGTAAAAGGTCTTCATGCACTTCTCAAAGCCTCGCTGAACAATAGAATTTTCCTTAGTTTGGTTACACTGATGAAAAACAGTAAAATTGCTACATGTCTTCCATTTGGCATGCATAAGAAAAGGAAGTATATATGTGGTTTTGATAGCCACAATTTCAAAAATGTTAGGAATTCAGATTTTCAGACATTTATAATGGTTTCTCCTTATACTGCCCTCTGTTCTTGAGAGGGAACAAGTCTGACAGCATTTATGTGACTTTTGGTAGAAAAATTAGTACTACACTTATGAACCATACAAGTATAGCTGTTTTCCTTTTCCAGTCCAGGTAAGGTATGTATTCCACGCATGTATCATAGCCTGTTTTAAAACTTTAATGGGGGAAGGGTTAGTGCCCTAGAATAATTTTATCCTGATTTCTGTAAAGGTAAAGGCAGGCTTTTAGAAAATGTTCATCATTAACATAACTGTTGCTATCTGAAATCAACATTAAGGCTCCTTAGGTCTCATGAAAGTGCAGTCAGACCAGCTCTGAGGAGCCTCCCAGCAGCTTGGCCAATGCATCAGCTGGTCAATAGACCGATGGGGTTTTTCTCTAATTGATTTCCTGTCTTTACCAGTTGTCTGGTTTGTTGCCCGAGTTGCTTGTATATTGTCTTTATTGCTGCTGCTGCTGTATTGGCAAGAAGGGAGGGCTTGCAGATTCCATTCATCTGCAGTGGTTACAAATGAAGCTCAGAAAGGACTTAAAAGAAAAATGGTTTTCTTCTTTTGAGTTTTCAAATTTACTGTGCTCTTAATGTTTTGTCTCTGTTCTTCTCCTTACCTTTTCGAATGTGTGCACATATACTTATAGATTTCGAATTCATTGATGTGTCTAAAAAGAAGAAAAGAAAAACACAGTTCCAGATCTCATGTCTTCATTTTGCAAAAGCTGTGGAGCTGGGGCACTTCAGTGTGCTTTCACGTTTCTGTGAGACACTTCAGAGCCCAGAAATATTAACAGCATGAGTTAAAAAGCAATACTAACCACAAACTCATTTTTACTATGGAAAATGTACCACCTTGGCATATATTTATTCAGCACATTAGGAGAAGATACAAATAGTTTAGAACCATCATCATTTTAGAGGAAAAAATCTTAGAGGACTGGAAAGTGATGTTTTGTTTGTTATCTTGTACATTGCCCTCTGGCAGAGCAACTTTTTCTTTACGCATCCAGCTTTTGTCAAAACAGCACTAACTGAGAATTTCCCGGGGACAATGGCTTCAGCTGAGGAAACAGGTTCCCATAATTGTTGCGGTATTGAAATTACTATTATTTAGCTGATAGAAGTGACAATCAGCGGCCCTGGAACCGGAATAACAATGCTATGTGACAGGTTTCTCTGCTGCCACAGGAAGATTTTCATAGGCTGAACATCAAGAGGTTTGTGTAGTTCTCAAAAGTGCTGGGTGAGCTGAGAGGGAGGAGGCCCAGCAAGAGCCAGGGGTTGCTGTTTTGGGCAGATCTTCCTGCTGGAGATGCTCCGGAGTGGCCTTGGGAACGGCTTGAGGATGCCAGGGGAACAGATCCTTTCTGGCTGACAACAGCTGGAGGATGTTGCATGGGAGGTGCTCTTGGCTTGGGGGTTTTAAATGGGAGGGGTTTCTCTCAGCTTGAGAACACATTTTTTCCGCTTGACTCACTGAGTGAAATCTAAGTGAATGATAAAATTTCTAAAAGTAACATTGAATTGGTTAGAATAATAAAAAATGCATTTATCATCAGGAAGGAAGAGCAAAATAAGGGGAAAGATTCAACAAAGAGGAAGTCACCACCTTCTCAATAACAATGGGAGTTTGTAGGCAGCTGAACACACCTTTGTTCAACAGCCTGCCTGGTTCTCCAGCCACACAGTAATTTACAATCGGAGAGAATTTTTCTGAAACTATTATCGGTCTCCTCTCCCACATGCAGTACCCACACACGTTTCTGTAGGGACACTTTTCACTGAAAAGACGTTACACTATGAACGTTGTTTGCGTAGGTTAACTTGCCATATAGAATGCAAGCCTATATGTGCATGAAAGGAAACTGCCCACTAATTCCTGCAGAACCCATTTTTTTCCAGGAACAACACCAGCCTTTGTTTCTTCTCTTTGGCTTGGCACATAGAGCAAGGAAGGAACATAAAATACGGGCACTGAAGCGGAGCCTGGTGTGACTGATGTATACTGTAGATAAAGCTGGGTACCTGCAGAAGACAGGGAGGGGCTGCTGGGGTAAATGTATGCTTAAGATAATAGCCCTTAAAATTCTCTTTTAATGATTTTCTATTTCTACACTGTATTTCCTTTGTTCACTCCTCAGCAGTTTGCCAAACTTCAACTGCTGTATCAATTACTTTGTGCTTAACAGTTTGAAAAAGTATTGGGAGCAGAGGCACGATGTGCTCTGTACTTCTTGTCCAGATCAGGCCAGCTGCCTTCCCCATCAGTGCTGCAGGAATTGCAGAATTACATCACTAAACCAGGGAAGGGCTAAGGGAACATTTTAACTTCAGTTACATATGAAAAAAAGAAAGATTCAAACCCCAAGATTTTTAGCTCTGTCTCAAAAGTAGCTAAAAAATACTAAAATCGGGATATGCTTGGGTTCAGAGGGTTAAGAAAAGACACTGTTCTTCCCCTGAGACCTGGCTTTCTAGCTTCTTGAGTCCAACCAGGCCCTTTCAGTTGAGGTTTAAATGTCTGAAGGTGATGATTCAAAATGGAAACATTGACAGAGTAAGCAACAGTAACATAAAAATATTTATTAAATGTCCCTGTATGCAGCTCTTTCCAAAGAGCAATTGTGATTTTTCACAAGCTTGCATTAGTCTCCATTTTCACTTATGCTTATCTGTGAAATCTGTCCCATCACAGGTATGTTAAAAATACTGTCCTTGTCAGTTTATCTGATAAAAGGAGACTGATGCTTGTGTTTGTTAAATTCATGCTGGTGTGATGGCTGTCCCTGGAAACTTCAAATAAGCAGGGCAGGCAAAATGGAAAAATCATCTCATAAATTTGTAAAGCTCCAAGCCAGCACTGCTCTTTATTTTGAACAGGCTCCTGTATTTTACATCAAAACAACTCTGCTGCTTGGTATCGGATCTTCTAGCTCTTTTTGTGATGGGATGGCAGATTGCTTATTGCAGGAGCAGTGAATTTTCAGTGATGGGGAGATAAGAGACCTTCCTTACACAGGGAGGTCTCCAGTTTTCATTTGGTCAGTATTTGTAACAGATACACCCTCCCTTAATTTCCATCATGTGAAACTAGTGTATTTTACTTTGACACTTCATTTATCAGCTGTTCAGTTGGTGATAATTAGATTGTATTTTTCATGCTGGGTCCTTTCATTCTTCTCTAACCTGTTATTATGTGATGTGGTCTTGGCAAGAAACACATTCCTATTCTTAAAAAAAAAAAAGAACACATCTCAGATCCTGCTAATTAAGAAAATTATCAACTTCTAGAGTTGAAAAAGATAATCAGCACTTGAGCCTTCTGCAAACAAGAATCATTTTGTATTAACAAGTAGAACTTTCTTACTGAGTTGGGAAAGATTATGTATGTAGTTCCCATAAAAAGAATTTTTTTTTAAGTGCTGTCCAGATACTGAAGAGTTATAGCCTATGGTATTGGTCTATTTTTTTGCTACAACCTGTAAATCAGAGTTGTTACATCAGCTCTGCACTCTCCCTGTTAGGAAGTGCCATATAGGTGATTATGTAAATACCATACTTCTGGCCTGTCTGTTAACATTAAGAGTGGAATGAGGGAATGAGAGAACAGAAAGCAGGCACATCTAAAAATATACCTGAGAAAGAGAAGTAAGCTAGCAGTGCTGCACGCTATGGTAGGAGAGGATATGTCCTTGCAGCACAGCCATTTCCTGATGCAGTCCCCTCGGTGTGTGTGACACGGGCGTGGAGCGCAGGTGGTCCCACCGACCCCAGCTCTGGGCACTCGCCTTCCCCCCCGTACCCCACAGCACCCACCTCATGCAGTCGGGTGCTTCAGCAACATCTCTTATCTCGCCTTTCAACACAAAATAATCGGAATGTCGGAGGCCCGTTAGATTCAAATCTTTTCTTAACAATTATGCAAAATGCAACTTATTCTTTCCGACATGGATTTCTTTAACCCTCCAAGTCTAAC